TTAATCCCACTTGTGTTTATCGGCCAGGCTGGCACAATAAACTAACTATCTCACGTCCCTCCCTCACAAACCCTTGAAAGTTTATGAATTCTTATTTTTTCATGTCTTATACTGTCCAATGTCTCCCTTCAACCACTTTTCTGTTGTCCGTCTCCCAGGGATGGAGTTATATGTAGATCATTGTGGTTGGTTCCCCTTTTCTCCCCCACCTTCCCATTCCCCTCCTGATATTGCTATTCTCATTATTGATCCTGAGGAGTTTATCTATCCTAAATTCCCTGTGTTTCCAGTTCTTATCTGTTCCAGTGTACATCTGCTGATCTAGCTGGATTTGTAAGGTAGAATTGGGGTCATGATAGTGGGGGGAGGAAGCATTAAATAACTAGAAAAAAGTAGTATGTTTCATAATTGCTATACTGCACCCTGGCTGGCTTGTCTCCTCCCCGCAAACCTTCTATAAGGGGATGTCCAGTTGCCTACAGGTGGGCTTTGGGTCTCCACTCCGTACTTCCTCTCATTCATAATGATATGATTTTTTTGTTCTTTGGTGCCGGATACCTGATCCTATATAAGCAATACCCAAGGGGAGGGTATTGCTTATATTTCCACAGGGAAAGAGGGACCAGCCTTCAACCTGGTGCTCCAAGATGTGAATGCAACATACCAGTATGAAGCAGAAACCCATAGAGAGGTCTGAGGGGCCAGCCCCAATCCCAACTAGTGGACAGCCCCACCTCTCCCCGCAGAAGAATTCACTTCAGAGGACAACACTGAAGCTACAGCTCAGGGAGAGGGACATGTCTGATCAGAGCACACAGGAGCAAATGAAGGGAGAGGAAGAGAGAGTAGCACACATCCTGGCCCATCAAGCCTTGAGGATGATATTCTCACTCAGAGCAGCCAAAGCATAGAAAAGACCATAGGGCGGGCCCCACTATGAGACACGACATCCCTTACTGACCCATAGTGCAATGGGGGACAACACTGGAGACACAGTGCGGGAATTGCGCCCGATCTCATCCCACCACACTGAGGCAAAACACTA